CCAATCGCCTGTCATGATATACCGGCCGCCAGATGCGTCCTCGAGCTGGAAAACTGTCAGTTGGCCTGACGATGTGGTATGCGGGGTTCGTCTTTCAGCGAAAATGGCATTTGTTGAGGAGCGAACACGAGTCAACGAGAGAAGATGCTCACTGCCAGCCATTCTGGTCGGTAGCCTTCTCTAGGCCAGTTCTTGTTGGGCTCTGCTGCCATGGTTTGTAGGAGTTCTCGGTAATAAAGACTGTGCGACAACTGCCCGGAAGTGAAAGATGGCACCAGCAGCGGACAACTGAGCAAGTGAAAAAGGGTAGATGCGCCACAAATGTCGACCTTCCAAAACTGGACTACTGGACTACTGGACTCGAGCCACAATCCATCAAACTCGGTGTAGCCGTGAGATAACAGACTAATATAATCTGAAATACCCAATATTACGGCGACGAATCACCCGTGTCTTGTAAACAAGCATCGTGAAAGCACAAACAGCAAAGCCATAGATGATTTGTGGAGAGCTGATGGCTTCATCTCAAGTAGAAATAAATAAGATAAATAAGACAAGGGAAATCTATCCAGTCGTGCCAGTCCAAATGGTGACATCGTGGTGATGGTTTCGCGGCGCACATCTTCATTCTCCAGCAAGACAGTCGCCGCAACATGTTCACCTTCTGCGGCTGCCCGTCTCCTTCAAAACTGAACACAATCCTACCTCATCCACCTCTCACTCGACTCATTCCAATGTAGCCAGCATCAATGTCTCCCACGAATCAGGACAATAGCGACCTCATCTGGGGATTCATCATCGTTATCATCCTCTATTTGATCATCGCCTTGCCGTTCGTGTGTTGTACGTGGGGTTGTCTGTATGTCCTGCTGTGGGCTTTGAACCAAATGTGAAGAAACTGTTATCACCATTCACATAGCACAGCGTCAATTTCCAGTCAACATAACAAAGGGTGGTGTCTGTCTCGATGAACTTCATCTGGTGGACACAGGAGAAAGAGCAAAAGAGCAAAAGAAAATGCACTGTTATGCACAACACTTTGCGCCACCGTACTACGAACACCCATCCGACAACTACGGCATGCGACGCGGCAATGCATGCAATTTACGAGGAACCTCGGCCTGTGACTTCAAAAAGAACCCTTCTTATGCAAGTATCATATCAAGTATAGAGATACAGTCTACGGAACCAACAACGAGATGGCTGACCAAGAGCCGTCTGGCAGCATTGCGCCTCCGCCTTCAGCTACCCCTACTCCCCCACCAACAACCATGGAATATCCATTTGCAACCTCACCCGATATCCTCCGCACGCACCAGAAGGACGCCTACATCACAGGAAGCATCTCGTCGCAAGCATCCACGATCCTGCGCGCCCTCCTCGGCGCTCGTTTCGCACACAAATACTCCGAAGCCACAAACCAACTCTCCGAACTCCTTTACCTCTGCATAACTACACTTCTGGGAAACCGGACGCTGGGCGAGGAATATTGCGACGTGATCCAGGTGGAGGACGACACATTAAGACTTGCAGGCCTGGGAAGAAGAGTCGGGTACATCGCCAGTGTGGTGTTTGCGCCCTGGATTCTGGGAAAATCTCTCCCTGCGCTGAGGAGAAGGCTGAGGAGTAAACTCGAGTGGAACATCGAACATGCCAAACAGAAACAGCAGCATAGTAACTCCAGACGCTCACCTTCACCCAGGAGCCTCAAGTTACAAGAATACATCCTCAAACACCTCGACACTCTGACCTCCCTCCAGCCCATCTACGCCCTTAGTCTCGCAGTCTTCTACTTCACGGGGGCGTACTACCACATCGCCAAGCGACTGTTTGGGCTGCGATACGTCTTCACGAAACAGATCAAGCCTAACGAAGAGCGGGTCGGGTACGAAGTCTTGGGGGTACTGCTCGTGCTCCAAATGGCCGTGCAGTCGGTGCTGCACGTCCGAGAGACATACATGGACGCGACAGCGTCCACAACAGGGGGAGAGACAGCGGGGCATGCCAGCACGGCGGCCATGCTCGCTAACGGGATCGAGATCCCGATCCCCTCGAGCCTCGAGACCTCTTCGACCGGCCAACTGCTTTCGGCCGTCTCCGTACCCTCCCATCTCCCACCGGGACTGTCGGCGAACACGGCGACCCCGATCCTCGACGCCCCGCGCTACGGCCTCGAGGAGCACGACGAGACCATGGCCTGGATCCCCGCCGGCCACCAGCGCAAATGCACCCTGTGTCTCGAGCCGTTCCGCGACCCGAGCGTGACCACGTGCGGCCACGTCTTTTGCTGGACCTGCGTGCAGGACTGGGTCAAGGAAAAGGCAGAGTGTCCCTTGTGCAGACAGAGCGTGCTTAGCCAGAAGGTCCTGCCGCTGAGAGGGTAAAGCGTGGATCGTCTACATAGCATGTCGATGAGGCGACATGAGCGATGGATGTATTGTACAATAATGAATTCTTGAGACGGCCACTAGAGTGACTTTACACTTATCCATCCATCCATCCATCCATGCGTGCGTGCATACATGAATTGGGTTAATCCATTTTCTTCTTGCTTCATTATGCTGTCCCAGAGTTCCGAGTTTAACAGTGCAAATCATCATGCCGGTCTACCTCGCAATGTACGTAAGTATGTACCTCTTACAAGCCGAGAGGCAGTATATATCCATTGATTCCATTTTCCTACGCCGGGTAATTCGCCATGTCCACGGAACGATCGTCCTCAGCGACTCAATCAATAGTGTAGTGCACTCTCCCTCAAAGGACGGCCGGGCAAATTATGACTGTGGTGAGGCAGACCACTAAGCCAACGCGACGGCACCTTCTTTCTTTCCCACGCGAGGGCTCTCGACATCATCCTCGCCTTCGTCACTGATCAAGCCTTCGAGCTCAAACTCCTCGGCGTCCCGGACCTGCTGGCTAGCGGTGCCTCGATGTCGGGGTATTCTCGCGCTGCCGTTCACGGGGCCATTAGCCCCTCCGTTCATCCCGACACCCGAGAGGGTGGACATCTTTCTTGTGTGCTGTCCACCGAGACCACTGGGCCCGGCAATACTCAGGCTCCTCCCGGAACCGGAACCGCCTGCGCCATAAGAGGAGCGCACTCCGTTGCTCTCGTCATCCGGCCATGCATGGCTCGCGTAGACGTACAGCAAGATGTTCACAAACAGATAGAGTAAGAAGGCGATGCTGTAGAGGATCAGGATGTAGGAGACATGCGTGACGTCCGCGTCGGAGAGAAGGTGCATTTGTTCCTCGGTCGCGCCCATGAAGAGGAAGCCGGAGGCATACAGGAGCTGTACACAACACCCATTAGCAGACCGTAACATGAATGAAGGGGAAATGCAGAGACTCACGAATGGAGGCAAGTGCTGCCAGCTGTTAACCTCGCCTGAGCCACGGCTGTCCTTGAGCAAGAAGGAAATCTCAACAATTCTCGCCGCACCCGCAGCCATCAAGGTGTATCCAAACACCGTATGCACCATGGTGCTCAGAGGGAGATCCTGGGGGTGCGCGCTCATGGCCCAGCCTGTCATGAGGATTACCAGCCCGGGCAGGATATTTCTTTTTGGTCGTCCGTTCCTCGATCTCGACAGCCAAACGCCCAGCAAGCCCGCGCACCACCAAACGATCCCCATGCTCGTGTGCTGCAGATCGTTCTTGACCCACGGATGGCCCCAGCGGTGTTCTGTAAACGTGTTGACACAGCCCCATGCGGCGATCACGCAGCTGTCGAAAAACTCCTGGCTTCTGCCCGTCCTCCTCAACCATGCTTGACCCACGAGTAGGAGGAGAGTCATGATGATGCCGTACGCGATGAACGCCGACCCCATGATGAAGTGCGCCAAACACTGTCCCAGATGGTCGCCTCGACAGTATCCCATGGCGACGATACCTCCAAAGAGCATTTGCGCCCATGCGACAATGGGCATTAATTTTCCCAACCAGCCGTGGATCATGACCACACCTCTCCGCCCACCTCTTCCCATTTTTCCCCCAAATACCCGCCCTATCCACCCTTTCTTCTCTTCCAGATGCAACTTCAAACCGACACCTAGGCCAACCTGAATGAGGAGCATCAACACCAGGCTATTGGCAAAACTCGCGTGGATGTTCGGGTGACGAAATTGTCGCCCTTTGTGCATATGTCCCAAGAAATAGGCAACGGTCGCGATAACCGTGCCTACGATTTGTAAAGGAACATGCCAACGACTCTTGATGATTCCCAGAACCATGCCATAGGGAAAGATCATGCCAAATGACACAATCATGAGGAGGATGTGAATCCATAGCCGGCTATCCAGGGGATCAGGAGAGACGGCCTCTCCTTCGGGAATCTTGTCCGTGTGGCCGCCATGAGCCGACACAGATGAAGCGAATAAAATGAGGGGGAGTAGATATAGGAGGGGAGTTGGTTGCTGATCTCGTCGCAGGATCCGTGGGAAATACATCGCGAACCGGACGGTGCTGTGAGACGGGGGACGAGGGGAGACTCTCGACGAAGTTGATGGGGCAGTTGTTGCCAGTCAGGGGCTGAAGTACATTGTACAAGGATGCTAGATTAGCAGATTGACGATTTATGAGGCGGAAAGAGAGAAACCATCGGCTGATATAATGCTCGATTCACGTCCACGCCGCATGCGCAATAATGGCACAATGGATTGTCGTGCTGGGAAAAGATGTTGCCTCTCCACAAATGGCCGGTTCATGCCGGTCCATCACGCTACATGTCTTCTCCACTTTTCATGCGTTATACATAGCGAAACGTGTACCGTAATCGTCAATGGAATTGGTATCATTCGATAGAAGATGCCAACTAGTCTGGCAGATGAGGTTTGCTCGGACATTTCTGGTAACAGGATAGGGAGAAACAATACTGCAGCGTCTGACGCATTTAAAGATATCTTCATATCTAGTGTAAGCTATACATCCGTCTTCGATAGACACTGATCCTGCGTGGCACCTCTGCTTCGTCCACCACCACGTTGCCAGATCAACCACATTCACGCTTGCTTGTCGACGTAGAATTTCTCGATCTCACAAGGGAGCTCGGCTTGTCCACAGGTCGAGCAGAAGAGGAATTGCATGCTGCAGATCGTCTCCAATCTCTCACACGTTGTCTTGTCTGTCCTGCTCGAGTTCGTGCATTCCAACGCATCTTGCTCACATTGAGCATTGCTTTCGAAGCATTCGACCTTGTTGGTAAATCTTTCAACTTTCGCACAGGAGTTCCTGCCCGAAACAATGCAGCCTCCCTCCGACCTTGAGCCAACGCTGATCCAAGCCGGATCCCGATACCACCGTTCGGGATCATCATCAAGACACTCTCCGACAGTAACAGCTAACAACAGGTCAGTGAATGTTTTCGACGCGCAGAGCAGACCTGGTACGAGCCTTTCCATCCTCTTTGGGAGACCACGTCCAGGATATATTTGGTAAGGTCGATGGCTGACGTGCGGACTGTATCGTGCTGGATCAGCAGCATCCTGCTTCCTTGCTCATCTCCGCTCTCTAACGCCTGGTCAACCCTCTCTGCCATTGCAGTGAAATTGTCAGGATCCATCCAGTCCCCGCTGTCAAACGCATACGAAATAACATGGTATCCAAGGTCTCTCATGTCGCTAAGACAACCGGTGTGGTTGCTGCATTGGAGGTAAGGCGGCCGCATGTATGCCGGATATTTGCCTAAGATGTTGGCGAGTGCCCTCTCGTTCTGAGCCATGTCGAGCCGGCGAGCTTGCGACCCCATCTCGTCCATGTTATCATGAGACCAAGTATGGGAGGCAATTTGGTGCCCCTCCTGGACCATACGCTTGATCACATCCGTCCACTTGCGCGTCGTGTCGATGGGACCTTTGCCATTGCTATTCCCTGTAATGAAGAAGGTTGCCTTTGCACCAGCTTCGTCGAGAATATCCAGCAGCTCATCGGTGTTTTGTGATGGACCATCGTCGTATGTAAGGGCAATAGTTTTAGGAACGTAGCAGTTGCGGATGGGCTGCCCATATGCGATCTGGCCTTCCTCTCCTCTTGGATCCACTGACATATTGTACCCTGCTGGAGTGGTGTCAGAGTCGCAAATGCCAAATTCTTGTTGGCAATTTACTGGGACAGCACAGAAATCAAGACCAGTCCCCTAAGCCGTGTCAGCAAAGCGACACATTTTCCAAGGAACAGCCACCAACGCAATAATTAAAGCGAGAACAACACTGCGGAAAGGGACAGGAGCTGTTGCCGTTCGATGGACCACATCTCTCCTGAGTGCACGTTCCAAAAGCTGGTTGGCACCCTTCGCCGCAGAATTCGCTGGTGATACCCTGCTTCGGTCAATACCTCATTCTTGCGTGGGACAACGAGACAAACACATAGACCATCTGAAGAACAACACTGTCCGGCACTGCAATGTTGTCCATCATGATTCGGACCACAATACTCGACGGTTGTAGCACGATTTGTGCCTTCACTTGCATCGCAGATTCTGCAGCGACGTCAGGTATCGTGAGAGTATATTGTCTTCCTGTAAACTTGCCCGTATCTCTCTTGACAGCCTTGACCGCAATAAAGCGTTCCATTACCTAGAAGGGATATCATCAGCTGTCGTCCGAATGATGTGAACAAAGGTGTGGTACCACAGAACCCCTATCAACAGTCAGAACAAATCTCGGGACATGGTTGACTCAACACACATATGATGAGCAGCACCATCCACTGCCAGGAGTATTTGGATCGCACGCCACTCCAGTCACATTTCCGCAAACGATTTGCTTCGGTTGCTCGCTCCCAGCGTTTAATAATGTAGATTGCTGGTCGCCAGAGTCAAGACTTGAGGGGGTTAGAGCATCAACGGGAGACGTCTCCTCTGCTTTGGCCAACCACACTGGTGCATGGAGAACAGCGAGCAGAAGGGAATGGGGTTTCATCGTGACGTGAAACTGCGTCGAGCTGGAAGGGGAACCAACGGCGTGCACAGAGAGAGTCAGCGCCTAAAGAGCAAATCGACGATATGAAATAATGAATGCAGCGGTATCGATGCAGGCGAGCTCGACAAAACTTCAGAACGAAGGATGACCAGTGCAATGATGGCGTAGACGGAGCAGAGAGAGATGAACACAGAGGAAAAAAGGTGTTAACTTGAACTGTCCAGGCCAGCGCCCACGTCGAAGGCGCGAGGCGCCCGCTCTCAAGGAGGATCATTTCCTGACAGCAGGAAGCGATGGCCGTCATGAGGCTCACCGGCAGAGCATCGCAACAGCAGGAGCAGACATCGTAGCTTCATTCCAAGTTTCCCATGTACTTGATTGCAGTGTCTTCGTCTCGCGTCAATTCGTCTCCCATAGTTGCTAAGCGAAGCAGTACAACTGTTCTAAAATTCCCGCAAGCATTATTTTATTTTTGAAGCCCCATCTAACCCAGACTGCTCATTGAAAAGATCCTGGTATATCGTTAGGGTTCCCCTTAGACTCTTCAGTGGGCGTCACTGGTACGGAATGGAATGCAGAGTCGGTGGCTTCGTGAGTGGATGTTGGTGTGAGGACGTGGCCGCCCTCGTGCTTTTGTTCAGCATCGCCGTTCAAATCAATTTTGTCAAAGCCATCAACGGGCGCCTGTGTTTCCGAGGAAGGGGATGCTACGCGGCCAGGATTCCGCGGCGGTAATGCTGGAGGGACACGTTTGGGAACTTCAACCACTCTCGCACGGGCCATGACTGGCACAGCTGTCGAGACCTCGACATCAGAATCTACGTCTGAGAATGACTCTCTGCGCTCCTGTGGCTCTTCAGCCGCGTCATCCACGAGTTGGCTGTGTTTCTTTGGAAAGTCAAGTCCTCTCATCGACGTCCGTCGAGGGCTGTTTCCAGCACTTTTCGTTTCGTCCTCATCCGTCTGGGTACCTCGATCGACACTAGCGAGGCTGTGAGTGCTTTCTCTCCAAGTCCGACTCCGAATTGAGCCATCGACACTTCGACGTGAGAAATGGGAGTAGATCGGGCTGGTGGGTGACGGCTTGAACTCGAAAGCATCTGCACTAGGCCGTTGGTGAGTTCCTGCCTCTCGGATATTCAATCCTTCAGCCTCCAGGGCTTTCACTCCATATGGATCTGGATCATCCTCGGCTGGGATACCAAAGGTACTTCCTCCTGTAGGCAGTCAGTAACCTGATTGAAGCCGGTTCGCTAACTCTCACCTGGTGGCATGATTTCCATGTCACTCGGAGCCGGAGCATCCGGGAGCAAGCTGTCATCTACCTCGTCACCTTGAGCCGCCTTCAAGGTGTCAAGAAGGACCTGGTACTGCTCAACAGGTGCATATCGAACCTTGCCAACAAGGATATCTGTGACGCTGATCTGTTCTCCATAGAACCTTGCATTTTCGTCGGTACGTTCAATAACAAGATTCCCTTCCAGGGCGACTCCAGCATAAAGACCGCGACTCTTCACGTATGACCAAATAGGAGCCTGGCGTTTGGTCAATTCAGTATCGAGAGCGCCACCGATTCCAACGGGGCCTGCTGCAACCCCGACCTCAGTCCCCAAGGTAGTCCTCCACTTTGTGAAAGCTCCCAAGGCTTCGTATGTGTTGATGACGAGTACTGTATCGTAGATGTCGACTCCTGCGAGGAACCCAAAGGAAAGATTTTGCGTCTGAATGCCACTGGGAGGACTCCATTCCCCAGTCTCTGGATGCCTGCCGACAAGAATGCCAGCACCGCCAGAGCCACCGAAGAGCCACCCGGTTCGCATGGTTGTGAATATAGCCAACCCGACAGCATTTTTTATGACACTCGCCGGAATCTTTTTCATAACCCTTTGTTTGCCTTGCGGGACACCCACCGTTGTTGCATTCCGCTCTTCCACTTTCTTGGCCTCCTTCTCTTCTATCTGCTCATAGAAGCCGTCCTTGCAGAACCCACGTAGAATCCGAGCCGCCTTTTCTGATTCTTTGTCTAAGGAGGTGGGCCAAAATGCTTCGGAACCGACTTTGTTTGACAATCGATTGACAGGGGCTCCCAGTTTGTCAACAACCGCATAGGCTTTGTTGAAACCTGGTTTGAGGGCCTTCTCGTAGGCGGTATTGGAATATCCTTTGGTTTTTTCCCACACTGTCGATGTCCCAGACGTTGTTCTGGTTGAGCTCTTGGTGATCGAAGTATCCAAGGCTGGACTCTGCGCCGGTTGCGCCATGGCACCGGGTCAGGTTTGCCAACGTGATAGTTTGGGGGGATTAGTCGACCGATGGTCAGGGTAAACAGCGCACGCAGGATGCTCTTACTGTGTGCGAGCAGGTCACTTGCAGAACAATTGGACTCGGTGATTGGGAGCCAGTAATCTAGGACGGTTCAGTGTCGCGCAGCCAACCTTTGAAATCTCGAGGACTATTTGGGCAGTTTGACCAGCCAGTAATCCGGTTGCTGCCGGGTACGCAATAAAAGAGTAAGAAGCAGACAGGCAGGGCAACTAAGTGGTTAGACGTCATTGGCCTTAAGCGCATTTGTTGTGGGTGGTTGCGGGCAGAGGCACATCTTAGTCAGGACGCCCGTGATGCCCAAGACCAGGCAAGCGGGCGAGCTAGAGCCCAGAGGTCGTGAGTTGGGGGCTTCCACGTGGGCCTAGTGAGCCTAGGAGCCTGGGGGTCTAGAGAGAGAGACACACCAAAAAAGGCTGCTGGTCTGACAAAATCACATGCCTTTGACGGCACGAGTTTGACTGTACTATCTCTGACTTGAGTAATTGCAAACTCCTATGCAAGACGACATTTCATCAGTACACGGCTGACTCGAGTTGATCTCATCTCTCAGTGTCCATGGGTCTTTGTGTTGAGAGCAAGCACATAACCTGACGCTTTCACCTGGCAAGCTGGTTGTCCTGCGTGTCAGAAGCCAGAGAAGCAAACAGAAGGTGCTGCACCTCGGCTCGTCAGAGAAACGTTTGTTCGACTAATCATATCTGAACGTTGGCAGAAACATTCAAAACAGTCTTCAATCCGTCGTCGAAACCCCAGCGAACCTCAACCTTCCACGAAATCAACTATTCGTTTCTTTTCTATAGCGATTAATTAGCCATGCCACCAATCCCACCTCTTTTCGTGCTTCAAGTTCCGCCGACGTTGAATGCTGGCTCAAATGCTCAAGGCGAGCAAGGGAACTTCATTTGCACCCAGGCCGCTCCTCAAGTATACCTCCTGTCCTTCTCCAGCCCGCCGGACAACCGCCTCACTCCCGCCTTCAATCAAACATTCCTGCTGGCACTTGACATTATCGAGCACCGTCTCCCTCGGGGAGTGGTCATAACGACCTCATCCATCACCAAGTTCTATTCCAATGGGCTGGACTTTGAGAATGCTATCAAGGACCCGACTTTCTTCCCAAACAGTCTTTATCCCTTGTGGCGTCGTTTGATCAGTTATCCAATGCCCACAGTGGCATTGATAAATGGCCATGCTTTCGCCGGCGGCTTGATGACCGCCATGATGCATGATTATCGCATCATGAACCCTCACAAGGGGTTTTTGTGCCTGAACGAGCTAGATTTTGGTGCAGCTCTTCAACCAGCCATGGCAACAGTGTTTCGAGTGAAGTTAAACATGACGACTTTCAGGAATATGGCTCTGGAGAGCAGAAGATTTCCCGCCCTGGAGGCCTTGAAAGAGGGCATCATTGATGGCGTTGGGGGTGTTGAAGAGACGCTCGCCTTCATTTCGGAGATGAAGCTGGCTCAGAAGGCTCAAGGAAAGTCATATGGTCTGATCAAGGAGGAACTATACCGAGAGGTGATCAAAGACCTAGACGAAGGCGCTGATACCCGCGCAAAGCTAGCCGCGAGAGATCTAGATCGCAACCGTCGGGGACTGGAATCCAGGAGAAGGGTCGACGAGTATCAGGCGGTGGTGCAAAAGGCGAAACTCTGATCACAAGCAGGCATCGGGTGTAACGACTGTTGAATGCGTCAGAGGTTATCCTCCGGAATGTTTTCGGGTTTGAGTGCCTATGTAACAGGATTGGGAACCGGCGAAAGTGGCAGGCTGCAGTGATTACCAGTTTAATGGCTGGGTTGATGAATCAGAGCCATCCTCCAATGCCTTGTGGTCCATCGTGCTGTGCTACACAGACATCGAGACTGGAAATACTATAGCCAGTTGGTACCGGATCCTGGTATTCTGTGACTAGCATCATTGAACGTTATCTATAACTCACCTGATTCTTCGTATACTCTCGTGCGATAGATAGTGATAACTACCGATATCCTGTTGATATGAGTATTGAGTAATTGCCAATTGGGGATACTCCGTATTATGTGCGAATAAAACTAGGTGCACAAGCAGAGTTTTATGCACCGTTTATGCAAGTCTTACGGAGAGTGGATATTGACTAACTGTGACTGGCAAGAAACGCGGAATACGAGCCTCAACAAACCGTGGGCAACCAAGACACCCCGCGTCTTTGCCGGGTGGCCAGTCGGCTACGGGTCCTAAGCGCCGACTCCCGTAGGCAACAGCCCGCCTGAAGGCCGCCCACGGCGCAATCTTTCAGGCATCAGGCATTACTGCTCGTACTCGATCATCGCTAAATTCGCATGCAATACCTAGGTTACCCAAGGCCCGGCTCCACAATTACGCTCACCCCCTTCACCAATGGACTCCTCGTTGCTTCGCATTAATTATTTTTGAGTTACCCGAGACTGTCATCTTAAAAGTCCGTCTTCCACGAGGCGTTGGATCTCTTTTCATTGTTTTCGGGCCCGAGATATTGTCCTTGGTGCCTGTTTGTCGTGTACATATCATCGTCATTCACCTTCTGTCCATTCTTTTTCTAATACGTCCGCTCCTTTGACTCTTGCATATAAAGAAACTCCGATAAGAATTACAACGGTTCGCAGTCACGATCCTTCAGATTTCGCGCTCGAATCCGTCGATCTGCTAAAGGCACACACACTCGACGTATCGACGCGGCTGAGAATTTGCCCCTCGCATATCCTTCTCACTGTTCAGTTTCCTCTTCATCCATCATGCTCTGCTAGCTTTCGCTCAGAAGCCTCATTTCATAATACGGCACCGTGATAAGGCCTCAACATGAACCCGAGCGGCCAGGGCGAATTGCCTGGCGGCGCGGCCGCCATTGAACACAACATTGAAGAGAAGGAAAGATCACAACTAGGAATTATTACGGACCAGCAACAAGACACCGAGCCGCTCTCTGAGAAGAGTGCTGCTGCTCCAGTTGGCCCATCTACCCCTATCTCTGGCCATGCCAAATCTCCCACGACTGCTGTCTCGCCAACGTCGCCTACATCCCAATCCTCTGACTCGGATAATCGTCCCGACCTCTCCAAGCTGGACTCCAAGATTGTTCAGGTTCGAGACGTCCCAGAGGGCGATGCGGCATTGTCCCATTTACCAGAGCATGAAAGGGCGGTTCTGAAAAAGCAGTTGGATGTGCCAGACGTGAAAGTCACCTATTGGACGCTATACCGCTATGCCACAAAATGGGACAAGGTCTTCATTGTCATAGCATGCATATGCGCAATCGGCGCCGGCGCCGTATTGCCTCTTATGACCGTTGTCTTTGGTAATCTCAGTGGTACTTTTCAGGGCCTGGTCCTCAACAATCTCACATCAAGTTTCGATTCCACTCTAACACGATATTGCCTCTACTTTATCTACCTGGCCATTGGAGAATTCTTTCTCGTCTATATTTCGACCGTTCTCTTCATCTACACGGGCGAGCACATTACTTCGAAAGTTCGCGAGCAATATCTGAGAGCAATCTTGCGACAGAATATCGGATTTTTCGACAAGTTGGGAGCCGGAGAAGTCACAACTCGCATCACCGCGGATACCAATCTAATCCAAGAGGCCATCAGTGAGAAGGTCGGCTTGACCTTGACTGGTGTAGCCACATTCTTTTCCGCGTTTGTTATTGGCTTCGTCAAATATTGGAAACTCACTTTGATCTGCACCTCCACAGTCTTCGCCATCGTGCTGGTTATGGGCTCTGGAGGCAGAAAGATGGCCGGATGGAACAAACAGTCTTTAGCAGCATATGCACTAGGGGGCTCAGTAGCGGAAGAAGTACTGGCCTCGATCAGAAACGCCGTCGCCTTCGGTACTCAGGACAAGCTTGCGAAGCAGTACAACATCCACCTGCTCGAGGCTCGAAGGTGGGGGATTCGAAGCAAGGCCGCCCTGGGCTGCATGATAGGCGCCATGCTGTGTATTCTGTTCTTGAACTACGGTCTCGCATTTTGGATGGGTTCGCGATTCCTGGTCAACGGTGAGACTACTCTTGCCCACATTTTAACCATTATTTTTGCCGTCATGATCGGTGCGTTCTCCTTTGGCAACGTCGGGCCCCATATGCAACATTTTGCAGCCGGTGTTGGCGCAGCGGCAAAGATTTATTCGACAATCGACCGAGCTTCCCCAATTGACCCTCTCTCTGACGATGGCCAAAAACTGGATCAAGTTGAGGGAACGATCGAATTGCGCAATGTCAAGCATATTTACCCTTCGCGAGCTGAAGTCGTGGTCATGGAAGACATCAACCTAGTCATACCCGCGGGCAAAACCACCGCGCTCGTCGGAGCTTCTGGATCTGGTAAGTCGACCATAGTCGGGTTAGTAGAGCGGTTTTACGATCCTGTTGGGGGTGTTGTCCTCCTTGACGGGCACGACCTCAGCACGCTCAACCTGCATTGGCTTCGACAACAAATCGCCCTCGTTCAACAAGAACCTATCCTCTTTAGCCAGACCATCAAAGAAAATATCAAAAACGGACTCGTCGGGTCCAAATACGAGAATGAGTCAGAGGAGCAGCAAACACAGCGTATCATTGATGCCGCAAAACAAGCAAACGCTCACGATTTCATTTCCTCGCTGCCCGACGGCTACGAGACGCACGTCGGTGAACGTGGTTTCCTTTTGTCTGGCGGTCAAAAACAACGCGTCGCTATCGCACGAGCCATCGTCAGTGATCCGAAAATCTTACTCTTGGACGAGGTGAGTATTGAAGAATAGACCTAATTACGAAACAGTTCATACTAACGGTGATCGCATAGGCTACAAGCGCTTTGGATACGCGTTCCGAGAAAGTGGTGCAACAGGCACTGGACACTGCAGCCAAAGGTCGAACTACTATTGTGATTGCCCATCGATTGTCGACAATCAAAACTGCCGACAACATTGTGGTTATGCAGCAGGGACGCATTGTGGAACAAGGCACGCATGACGAGCTGGTAGAGAGGAAACAGGCTTACTTCAACCTGGTCTCTGCTCAGCGCATCGGTAGTGACGAGGATGACCAGTCTGTAGAAGAAGCCATTGCCGGCGAAGCAGAACTCACCAAGATCCAATCTACCAGATCCGGTAGCGCTGGGATGGCAGACCCCGATGACGAGAAGCTTGCGCTTGGTCGAACAAGAAGCGGGAAATCAGTGTCTTCCAACGTCCTCGCCGAGAAAAAGAGGGACAAGGAAGCTCGCTATTCGCTCTGGACCCTGATCATGTTCATCGCACGCTTCAACCGAAAAGAATGGTGGATCATGTGTATTGGATTCTTCTTCACAGCTATTGCAGGAGCCGCTCAGCCAGTGCAGGGTATTTTCTTCGCCAAATGCATTGTGGCACTATCTCAACCACTTTCTCTCCGCCACCAGATTCGTCACGATGTCGATTTCTGGTGCTTGATGTACCTGATGCTGGCCTTTGTGGATCTAATCGCCATGTGCATACAGGGCATCGCCTTTGCCTATTGCAGTGAGAGCTTGGTTCAGCGCGCTCGAGACGGTGCTTTCAGAAGATTCTTGAGGCAAGACATTGCTTTCTTTGACGAGGACGAAAACTCTACAGGCGCCCTCACGTCTTTCTTGTCGACCGAGACCACCCATCTTGCATCCATTTCTGGAGCGACGCTCGGAACCTTGATAAGTTGTTCGTCAACTTTGATCATTGCGGTTGTGGTGGCACTGGCGATCGGCTGGAAATTGTCACTGGTCTGCATGTGCGCATTGCCTGTCATCCTCGGGACGGGCTTCGTCAGGTTCTGGGTCCTTGCCAAATTCAGTGCAATCAACCAGAAACACTACGAAAAGTCAGCTGGATATGCCTGCGAGCATACCAATGCCATCCGGACTGTTGCGTCCTTAACGACGGAGCGTGAAATCTATGGCGAGTATAGGCGCCAGCTTCGAGACCAGTTGGGTGACTCTCTCAAATCGAATCTGAAGCACTCCTCGCTGTACGCCGCATCGCAGTCGGCCATGTTTTTGGCATTCGCGCTGGGCTTCTGGTACGGAGGCAAACTCTTGGTCCGAGGCGAATACACCTTGTTTCAATTTTTCATTGTCTTTTCGGAAATCATCTTCGGCGCACAATCAGCAGGTACCGTCTTCTCGTTTGCTGGAGATATGTCCAAGGCAAAGAACTCCGCCGCCGAGTTGAAGAAGCTCTACGACCGTCAACCTGCCATCGATGCGTGGTCAGACGACGGCGCACCAATCACTCGAGTCGAAGGAACCATTGAGTTCCGTGATGTGCATTTCCGATATCCCACACGACCCGAGGTCCCGGTCCTCCGAGGCCTCAACCTAACCGTCAAACCTGGACAGTACGTTGCTCTTGTTGGCGCGTCCGGATGTGGCAAGTCGACAACCATTGCACTGTTGGAGCGTTTCTACGACCCACTTGCCGGTGGTATTTATGTTGATGGTCAAGAAATTTCGAGCCTCAATATCAATGACTACCGCTCTCATCTTGCCCTGGTGTCCCAAGAGCCGACGCTGTACCAAGGAACCATCAAGGACAACGTCCTCCTCGGCGTTGATCGAGGTGAAATTAGCGACGAGCAGATCATCCGAGCATGCAAGGACGCTAACATCTATGATTTCATCATGTCTCTACCAGACGGCTTTGCCACGGATGTCGGCAGCAAAGCCGCCTTACTCTCCGGCGGCCAGAAACAGCGCATTGCCATTGCCCGTGCTTTGCTCCGTGATCCTAAAATTCTCCTGCTTGACGAAGCTACCTCAGCATTGGACTCGAATTCTGAGAAGCTCATACAAGCAACCCTGGATTTCGCAGCGAAAGGGAGAACCACAGTTGCTGTAGCACACAGGCTGAGCACGATTCAAAAAGCGGATGTCATTTACGTATTCGACAAAGGTGTCATCGCTGAGAAGGGCACCCATCACGAATTAATGGCACTGAAGGGAAGGTATAGAGAGCTAGTGAGTCTGCAGAGTCTAGAAAAGCAGCGGTGATTTTGGGAAGCGGGTGGATCTTCAAACACAGTGGGTTTATTGGGATGGACCGCGAATGGCCGATATCGTGATTTAATTATTTTGTTTGGGAATTCTGCATAGGCACCTCCTCGCTCCTGTCCTATGGATCTTGTCAGTGGCAGAAGTACATACCTCATTCATTGACTACGAATTCGCAAAACACAAAATAAGGCCGTTCCTTGTGTGGTTTAAGGACTCGTCAACCAGGAGATAATGACATGTAGTCAGACAGAGCAGATGGGACCGGCCAAACCAGAGAATCACTGATTCCAAAGGGCCGAAGAACGTTCAGTATATCTGAGAGGTAGAGCCACTCCCCGTTGAGCATTGGTAGAGAAGACAGCAGGGAATCATAATGGGAGTCAACCTTTAAAAGCGTGCCGAAACCAGGACGGTTAAAGAGAAAACAGAACCTCGGCTCAGTAACCGCGTAGCTTGCGGGCTGTCGGGGACAATGAGGTCGTCCTTTTACTTCAGAGAGTCGAGAGTTCTGCTCAGAACGGGATGTGATTCGGAGGACATTGGGTAGCGATCCGCATGGAGGTCGTACAGTATGTTTAAGCGGTGTCTTGATAGCCGATCATACCGTTACTACATCCATCCACATCAGTCGCGCTCGTCTATCCCTCGTTCGTCCATGACGTCCTTTAGTCTGCGGCCTTCCTTCTCCGCGATCAGCCCCAGCATCTCCATGGCGACGTCCTTGATCTCGTTGTACGTCTTGAGCAGCGAGATGTGTTTGTTGATGATCGAGTGGGCGTGAGCGAGGGCGGCTTTCTCGTCTTCTACGGACATCGACGCAGGAATGGTGGTAGAGTCGTGCTGCTGCTGGACAATTTCCGGAACAGATCCTTGTTGAGAGGAGGAGGAGGACGAGGACGAGGAGGAGGATGATCTTCGATTTGATCCCTGTTTATTCTCGTATGCGGTTGACGCTGAAGTAGGGTAGGACTTGAGCTGCGTGATTTCTCGGAGCTTCGTGGATAGGCTTGCCTCTGTGGTGGAGATGTTGGATCTCAACTGCTCAATGGATGCCAGGAGCTTGGCCTGCTTCGTATCAGAATGAGCCTTGTGGCTTTGATCTGATTTCGACAACGAGGTTGGTAGTTCCTTGACGGTGGATTGGACTTTCGCATGTGGTGCTTGGGGACTTTGTTTTTGGTGTGATGTTGGGATAGGTAGCTCGTGGCCATTCGACTGGTTGGAGGAGTACCCATCGTCCTCCATATTCGACAACTACCTCGAGTTCTGTTATCGAGGGGTCGGGAGATGTGTGGTATAGGAGTCGTCAGCCGCACTTGCTTGGTGTGTCGAATGCCCTTTGATCGCGCTGTCTCACCATGCTCCGAGATGAGGTCAGAAGACCTTTGTCAACTTGGAATCGTAGGATTTCGGCTTCAATGCATTGTGTGTTTCAAGGCATTGTCATTACGTGGGAAAGAAGAACATATCCGTATCCAGTGTTCGAGGACACTCCTTTGTTCTCACGAGCAAAGCGAGGCAGAAGTGAGGGGCGTCAGCCTCGTGACGGAGACCAGAGCGACAAATTGAGCAAAAATAAATGAATCCCTTCGAGTAAAATACATTGAAAGTTACATTCCCTTGAGAGTGCACACTGCAGCGACTACAGAGACGCTCTACCAGCTGCGAATTTCCAGCTCCTGAAAATGATTGTCTTCAGTGCATCATCGTCACATTCCTTTTGCATGGTAGTTTTCGTTGATGATGTCAGACGCCTTCATTTTTCTCTAAACCCCACTTCTAGACATGGGGACACGGAGCGGAATTTAATGTCAGACAGAAAATATCTCTCAATCAACTTTCCACCTACTGACAAACTGCGCCCACATCGAAAACAATCTTCTGCGACTCCTCTTTTGGACAAATCCTAATCCACCGGTGAGTTGAGGACGCGCCGGCCTCGATGGAGACTCTTAGACTCCCATTGTATCCTTGATTGCTCGGGGATTCGGCTCCAGACAACGCGCCGCCATGTTCACCATCACTCCCTTGCTCGGGGCGCAGAGCACGTCTCGAGCGTCGCAGTCGATCCTTGAGTTGGATGGTGGAATCAAAATCTTGGTGGATGTGGGATGGGACGAACGGTTCGACACTCGACAGCTGGCCGAGATAGAGAAACACGCCTCTACTCTATCCTTTATCCTCCTCACCCATGCCACCACTTCTCACTTGGGCGCCTTTGCGCACTGCTGCAAACACATCCCCGTCTTCACCCAGATCCCCGTCTACGCCACGCCGCCCGTCATCGCCTTCGGCCGCACCCTCCTCCAAGACCTGTATTCGTCTTCCCCGCTGGTGGCTACCTTTATTCCAGGCTCGGGTTCTCCTGAAGATGGAACTAGCGTCGACGACAAGTCGCGGTCACACATCCTGCGCCAGGCTCCGACATACGAAGAGATCAACAAGTATTTTACATTGATCACTCCTCTCAAATACTCGCAACCTCATCAACCCACACCTTCTCCGTTTTCCGCCCCGATCGAGGGCCTCACACTGACGGCTTATAATTCGGGTCATACCTTGGGCGGCACAATATGGCACATACAATATGGGATGGAGTCTGTAGTCTACGCCGTGGATTGGAACCAAGCCCGAGAGAATGTTATAGCAGGGGCCGCGTGGTTTGGAGGGGTTGGGGGTGCCGAAGTCATCGAACAACTGCGCAAGCCTACCGCCCTCGTCTGCAGCAGCATTGGGGCGACAAGAGCCGCACTGTCTGGGGGTCGGAAGGCTCGTGACGAGGCTCTGCTGGCGCATATCAAGGTCTGTGTTGCTAAGGGCGGCACAGTTCTCATTCCTACCGACTCGAGCGCGAGAGTATTGGAATTAGCTTGGATCCTGGAAAAAGCGTGGTCCGACCCATCCAATGCTGTCTCCCTAAAACCTGCCAAAGTATACCTGGCCAGTCGGTCCGGCAATGCGACTCTTCGACATGCAAGAAGTCTGCTCGAATGGATGGACGACAGCATTGTGAGAGAATTCGAGGGCGAGGACGAAAATCCAGCTCCCACGCAGATGCACAGAAGAAGTGGCAGTAAGCAGATCAATGGCGCGAGCAAACCTTCGCGGCCTTTTGAGTTTAAGAACGTCAAGATTGTGGAGCGCAAAAGCCAACTGGAAAGGATGCTGAAGGCAGAAGGGGCCCGAGTCATCCTTGCGAGTGATGTGACAATGGATTGGGGTTTTTCGAGGTCACTGTTGGATCATGTGGTCCAAAGGCCCGAGAATCTGGTGGTTTTGACCGAACGAGTAAACATGCGTCCCGGGTCGCAAAGCCCAAGTCAGGTATTCTGGACTTGGTACGAAGACCGTCAGGATGGCGTCGCTCTCGAAAAAGGGCTGTCAACAGGAGAATGGTTGGAGCAGGTCCAGAGTGGAGGTAAAACGCTCAAGCTACGAAATTCAGAGAAGGCACCACTGAATTCACAAGAGAATCAAAGGTACCAACAATACATGGCGACTCAAAGACAGCTGCAAGACTCTCTGACTTCAGCCAACGAGCGAGACCAGGCTGGTGCGGACGACAATATCGATGACGAATCCAGCTCAACATCCTCAGACGAGTCAGACGACGAACAGCAGGGCCGTGTACTGAATGTTTCGGCCGCTCTCGGTCACGGAGCACGGAATAAGCTGGCACTGAGCGATGCAGACCTGGGAGTCAACGTTCTTGTTCGCAAAAAAGGCGTGTATGATTATGATGTACGGAATAAGAAGGGGCGGAACAGTCTTTTCCCATATACACATTCGCGAAGGCGCGGAGACGAGTTTGGAGATTTCATCAAGCCGGAGGATTTCTTAAGGGAAGAGGAGAAAGAAGACCAAGACACGGCCAACGACACCAAGTCCTTGGGCCAGCTCGGACAGAAGCGTAAGTGGGACGAGGCGAATGATACCAGGCACTCACAACACAAGAAAAGTCGAACAGCATTCGCGCCGGCAGCATCTGGCGATTCCGCAGCAGATTCAGACGCAGAGAATTCCGATGAAGACGTCCAAGTGGAACGGGAAGGATTCCAGGGACCGGCAAAAGTGGTATATTCGACCTCTGAGATCATGGTCAATGCCAGGCTGGCCTTTGTCGACTTTGCTGGACTGCACGATCAACGCAGTCTGCAAATGCTAATACCGTTGATTGGACCCAAAAAGTTGATCCTTGTCGGTGGCAATGCTTCAGACACTGTTGCTCTGGCCACTGATTGTAAAGAGCTTCTCGGGATGAAAGTGGCGGGAGCAGGAGAGGAACCGTCCACGGAAATCTTTACTCCTGCCGAGGGCCAAACTGTGGATGCCAGTGTCGACACGAACGCGTGGGTTGTCAAGCTCAGTCGCAACCTGGCAAAGACGCTCCGTTGGCAAAATGTCAAGAACATGGGAGTGGTGACCATCCAAGGTCAACTCAAGGGCGAACCGAGGGGAGACAACCTGCAGGAGGATCCTCAGACCAAAAAACAGAAATTTGATACAGAAGTGTCTCTTGCCGCTGGCCCTCGGCCGGTGTCCTCTGTCGAACCGGTGCTCGATGTTCTCCCAGCAAGCCTGGCTGCGTCAACAAGATCTGTCTCCCATGCGATCCACGTTGGCGACCTGCGTCTAGCTGACCTGCGGAGATTGATAGCATTGGACGGTCATATTGCAGAATTCCGAGGTGAGGGCACACTGCTGGTCGACGGCATGATAGCAGTACGAAAACTCGGCACCGGGAGGATCATCCTGGAAGGGGTGCCAGTCAGCTCTACTGCCATGACTCCGAGCAAGATGGATGATTTCACGCGTGTGAAGCAGAAAATCTATGATGGACTCGCCGTGGTTGCCGCCAGTTGAGGTCCAGCTCTAGTGAATACTGGTCACAAGCCAACTTTTGGTTTGCCGTTCTTTCCAGTCATGCTGTTACTTTTCTATCACCACACGACACTCGATGTCGACGGCCCAATTCCGCTGTTGCTCGAGGCCAGTGC